TCCTTCCCTCTCTGTTGGTATTTAGAGTTAATACCTCCATGAGTATAGGTCAAGTTCATCAAATTGTAGCAATTTACCTTTGTTTCCTTTATCAAAAATTGTTTTTGTTTTTTATCTTCCTCTAGTTGAGTTCTGATTATCAAACCATCAAAACTAGGTCAAATGGGTACTATCTGCAAGTTCAGGTATTCTTGTGCATCTCCCCTCACTTCATATCAGCTGGATTTCTGGGATTCTTAAGGGCCAGTATTGGAAAATGATCAGGAAAAAGGGTCAACAATCAACAGTGCTCATTACAGTGAAATGCTCACTGAAGAGCTGAAGCCTAAATTTTGGATTAAACACAGAGGACTGCTATTCAAGGGCATTGTAATCTTGCATGACAATGCATGTCTGCACACCTCTGCCCACACTGTTGACACTCTTCAGAAACTTTGTTTTGAGGTATTAGAGCATCCTCCCTATAGTCCTGATCTTGCTTCATCAGACTTTCATTTGTTTGGTCTCCTGAAAGCAACCTTTCAAGGACGAAGATTCATTTCTGATGAAGATTTAAGGATAGTAGTGCATTCGTGGCTCACAGCTCAGCCTAAAATATTTTTTAATAACAGGATATGAAAGCTTGTTGACAGATGGAAAAAAAGTTTAGAAAATCAAGGAGATTATGTTGAAAAATTATGTATTTGTGTTTTCTAAAAGTTGATTAAAATAAATTCTACAGCTAGAGTGACTTACCCTTGTAATCACTGAAGCCTTATCCTTCTATTGAGTAGCTGTAGGGTTAGAACCACAGATCTTTTGGTTAGCAGACAAATGCTTAAACCACTGTATAACCAGGACTCATTAGTAAATAGGGAAATGCAAATCAAAACCACAATGAGATGCCAAATTCACCTACTAGAGTAACTTTAATCAAAAAGCCAGATGATTTGTGTTGTAAGCATGTGTAAGAATGGAATGCTCATACATTGCTAGTGAGAGTATAAAATGGTACAGCTTTGGAAAACAGTTCTTCAAAAAGATGAGTATTATTACCATGTAACCAAGTACTAACACTCCCAGGTATGTATAAATGAAGTAGAATTGAAAACACATGTTCACATAAAGACTTGTATGGGTACACCTCATAGATATTGCAGGTACAGTTGCAGACCATCACAATAAAATAAATATCATAACAAAGCAAGCCACATACATTTTTTGGTTTTCCAGTGCATATAAAAGTTATGTTTTCACTATGCTGTCATCTATTAAGTGTGTAATAGGATTATGAAAAAGTTTGAAATACTATATAACCAAAATGTGACAGCCAGATATGAAATGAGCACATGCTATTGGAATATTGGTGTCAATGGACTTGCTCAATTCAGTGTTGAGCACAAACCTTCAATTTGTAAAATGCTCAACATCTGAAAAGCAAAATGAAGCAAAGCACAGTAAAATGAAATATGTATTCCTGTATAAGAATATATATAGCAACATTATTCAAAGAAGAAACTGTCCTGTGTCCATCTACAGATGAATGGATAAACAAAATGTGGTATAATGAAGCAATAGAACGTTGTTGTTGTTAGGTGCCATAGAGTCAGTACTGACTCACAGCGACCCAAAGCACAACAGAACAAAACACTGCCCAGTCCTGGGGCAACCTCACTAGTGTTTCCACGCTTGAGCCCATTTGATGCTGCCACTTTGCCAGTCCATCTTGCTAGGGGTCTTCCTCTTTTTCTCTGACCCTCCACCTTAGCAAATATGATATCCTTCTCCAGCGCCTGGTCCCTCCTGACAATATGTCCGAAGTCTGAGAGATGAAGTTTGACCATCCTGGCCTCCAGAGCACTCTCGCTACACTTCTTCCAATTCAGCCATAAAAAAAGAATAAGGTACTGATATGATACATGGTATAACTTTATTCTTTTTTATGGCTGAATATTATTCTGTTGCTTGACTATACCATATTTTGTTGGCAAATAAAGTAGTAATATATAGTACAACCCACCACTCGTCGATCAGTTTTGTTGCTATGATGCTGGAAGCTATTTTAACTGCCAGCAGTGTCACTCATGATAAACAGCTTTCAACAGAGCTTCCAGACTAAGGCAGACAAGGAAGAAGGAGAAGCAGACCACTGCTAGATAACTTACTGAATACCTTATGAATAAAACAGGAGAACATTTTCAGATATAATGCGATAAAATGAGCCCATCCGGTTGGAAAGCACTCAAAATATAACTGGGAAGAGCTGCCTCCTCAAAGTGGAGTTGACCATAATGAGATGAACAGAGCAAAGCTTTCAGTAACTTCATTTGCTGATGGGGCACAAATCAAAATGAGAAGAAACAGCTGCAAACATCTATTAATAACTGGATCATGGAATTGCTTGCTGAAAGCAAAGAGGAATTAAAACATTTACTGATGAAGATCAAAGAGCACAGCCTTCAGTATGGATTACATCTCAATGTAAAGAAAACAAAAATCCTCACCACT